AGAATCTTAGAATTTAGAAGGATAAGAAAGATAAAAAGTTCAAGACAAGTTCAAAAAAAAGTTGAGATGTAAAATATTGTGTTTAACTGAGTCTGTTACGTAAGCTTAAACTTCTGAAAACTATAACTTCTTCTTATACCTCCAAACGTGTTCGTTTTCTGAGCCATAGTCCCACCAGTTGCTTTATGACCCATTAGCCTTCTTTCCCTCTCTATTTTGCCGTGTAGTGCTAGCTTTGATGTAATGGCGGAACAAAGCTCAACAAACACTGATGCTCCAAAGCATTGATTTCTCACATTCCACTGGTCATTACTGTTCAGAGCAGAGGACAGACCTTTCAGAACTTATTGAAATAATATCAACACTACTTGCTTGTCTTGAAGGCACAGCCCACTATAACTTTAGAGTACTTAGTTTGCGAACATTGGAAGGGATATTCCAGTTCAGTGGAATATCTTGGAAGGCTTCGAAATGCACTGAAACTAGGGTTGGACGACATGGAGGGAAGCAAACCAGCCCGTTTGGCCCTTCTGCCGGATGCATTTCCTTATTCTGCGATCCTGTTTAAGGGCCTCATAATCCCTATCAGGGAAAGTACTTGGGGAGCCGCTTCTAAATCCCAGGTGGAAGACACTTCCTTGTTAATATGTGGAAGACATTGGGCGAATATATGAATCAACTGTTAAAGCACACCATACTGTCACAGTTTCACGGCAGCCCTATGTACACCATATAAAGAACTTCCACGTGGGATTTAGAAGCGACTCCCCATGTACTTTCCCTGAGTGAGATTATTATACCCTTAAACGGAATCGCAGAATAGGAAATGCATCCAGCAGAAGGGCCAAGCGAGCTGGTTTGCTCACCTCGACGACATGTGCGGACAAAAGTTGCATGGAAAGGGTATTCGGACGAGCCGTCTGAGCTATCTAAATGTCTAAGTGTGTGTGCCATTGCGTAGAGCTTGCTACAGTGGGCTACCATGCAATGCATGCATCCCCATGCGAATGGTGCAACCTCTACAGTCGCAGGCATAACTTGGGAGGAAATCTCAGAATTCACCTCTAACTGGGCCTTAAAATTAGACCTTTCGATTAAATCCGGGAGCAGCGTAAATAGAACATTCGAACTGATTTTGTTCTTTGCTCTGTAGGTGCTATGCAGTGCTTTACTACAGCAACTACTGTTTTTTCCAGGCCAGCTGGCTCTCCTTGTTTCTTTTCTTTATGTAAACAGACCATGATTTAGATGAGACCTTTTCGAAAATATGATGTATTTCAGCCACATTCCTGTTGGGTATGATGATCATCATTATCTACCTTATCGTAGCAATCCTGGAGGTGTTCTTCCTGATTATCGTATGGAAGCTCTACAAGTCCGTAACGATTTTTGCATATCATTAAAAAGTGTTCTATTTGAACGTATTCGGTCCGAATTCTTTTCACCGATGCTCGCCTTCGGGATATTTCAGGCAACTGCGAGACTACAGCAGCATCGGTCACTATTCCGATGACAAAAATGTGCAGTGGCAGAGCGTTGGCACGCCCCCAAAGGTTAGTGTATGTTCGCTTCTGTGGGTGAGGCTAGAATTCCTTTTTCTCCCGGTTCTTAACATGCAGTCACTGGATCGAGTAACAGAGTGGGGGACCGTTAGACTTTCGCCCCTAATGCTGCCTCTGAAGCAGCCAGAAGAGACCGCCATCGAAACTCCCAGACTAAAATGGTTGAAGTGTGCCGTAGTTATGACTTCACGGTGTCCTCCTTTACCATCTGCTGTTTAGGATAACGCTCACGGATCACCTACGATGGGAGATGTCTATCCGTATGGACAGGATGGAGGACAAGGGCAGATGTTGTAGACAAACAGACAATTGCTGTTCAAAAGTGACACCAGAAAGAGCGCCGAACTGTCACATTTCCGGACGAGCTGTCCACCCTGTTTCGCGTGATCTTTTTGCAACTTTTTGAGTTGTCTCAGCAACAGATCTACAAAGATCTACTGCCTATGAATTGTGCTATTTTGTATCTAAATGCTCGATTATATACACATCTTGCAGATCATCCTATATCGATGTACAAATTAGAAAGATAAATGAGGATTGTGAATTCGGTGTTTATTTTAAGCTTCAATGCCTAACACGAGGAACTTTTTGTTTACGTGAGAAATGCTCATTTGTAAATGCGAATTTTTTTTGTTATGACTCGGTTTAAAATGAAATTTTTCCGAAGTTGAATACAATAATATGCACAGTACTTCACGTTGCACGAAATGATATCTGGGGCTCTGCGGAAGATATACTCTGGAAAGGCGTGATTCAGAGATCTGCTCCTACCGGCATGCGACATACCAGTAGGTGACTTAGGGGACCAACTTTTATTTCCTGTCCAAATCACACTTCACGACTGCAATGGGTAATGTTTAATTTTTCAAAAGAAGTGTTTGCATGTGCCGTCTCGAGTTTCTGGGTCCGGGAACGGCAGCATGCAATCTAATGTAAGCGGCGCAAGCAATGGGGTGATAGAGAGAACGTCCGTTGCGCGTGTCCGTCGAAAGTAGGTCACCCCGCCCACTTCGCGCATCACACTGAGGCCTTGAGATGATATTACAGTACCACCAGGTGTCATTGGAGCAAATGATTTGCATTTGTCTGTGTTATCTTCTNATATCGCGGGCCGACTCGCCGCGTGCGACGGATTCGGCGTGACCTAGTTTCGACGGACACGCGCAACGAAGCGCACCCGGGGTGATAGATGTACGCGTAGGAAGTTGCACTGGTGGCGACAGAGACCTGGAATAAATTCAGGACTTCTTACTAGTGGGTATGGCAATCTGCCAGGGAATTGGTCCTTTCCCATCTTCGACTATGTCATGCTGGTCACGTGGATCCGCGCCGTCCAGATTTGGTAGATTGGCCAGGGAGGAAAGTAACGCCGAGATGGAAACAAAAAATTGTTCCCGTTTTCTAGTGAGTCCTTAGTAATGCGTAGTATTTGCAGTGGGATTCCACCCAAGTAGATCGGGTGATGGTATTCAGGACCACAAAAAGAAGGGAGCACTTGTCTTACAGTTAGACCAAGTCATACACAAAATGACTACAAAGCACTGTCTGTAGTCTGATTGGGTGATCAATGCATGAATGCACGGCAACCTTCTCAGACCAAGATGAGCTCATCTTTCATTGTGGGAGCCTTAAAGATACAAGGTTAAAGTTTTGGGGGTTAATCAACCCCGTCAAAGGGATGCGCCCACGCATTCGACTTCCATTCAGAATAGTTGGTGCGTATTGAATACGTATGTGACCTATACAATGGCTTGCGGTTGCAAGCAGATGTACAAGTCAGTGCTTTTACCCTCCCAGACGAGTCTGGTACCAATTAACCGACCCCTTAGGGGTAGAAGGCTTGGTTGACCCAGACGCACATCGATCCGGGGTTCGAACCCTTCAGCATGCGTGCGTGAATGCGCCACTTGCCACTAATCATCGCCTAATGTGGGAGTATGCTTCAAAATTCATGTTATAGAGCTTTGCAGAACCCCAAGTGAGGTCCTGCACAGCTCGAAGGTTGAGTTCAGTTACGAATGCGCCTGTACATACCGTTCCTCTGGTAAGATACCGTACTCATTCATTCATGACTATGTGACGGTTGGAGTGTGGTGTGATATGTGCCTTTATCTGTACGGTATTTGCAAACAATATTCGACAGACTCAAAGAAATACAAAAAATCGAGGGGGTTAAATTGCTGCTTTGATAAGAACGAAATTGATCTTTTCAGGGTTTTATTTGCCTGAAGAGGAAAGTGTACGGGGCCGAATTCCCCTCCGCCCACTTCCTCGATGTGCTCTACAATTTTAAAAGTAGACTACTTGAGATCGAATTCCGTCTGTTCCTATCCATTGCAGAAGGATATCTCCTGATTTCTTCCCAATTAGAATGTACTGCAGACTGCTGAATCGGGCCAGTTCAAGAACTCTTTCTTCTTCGCCATTCCTGACTCCTATCCCTCTTCGTTCGTCAACCTTTCTAGGCCCCTCTGCTCTTCCTGCTGTGTTGAGCAGTGAAGTCACCTTCCAGAACTAACGTGAGGGCTTTGTCAAGGTTCAGGTTGAACTTACATATCCTTCCAGGTTCAAAGCAGCACGCATGTGGCTACTCCATTACCCTTCCTTCGTGTCCACCCTTAGTCACATATCTGTTGTTACTGTCATGGCCACACCATTTAGTCTGATGTCTTCTCCGTTGCAGTAGAACTTGACCCCTCCCCAATCTATCTGACTTTAAGTCCTTTTCAGCGCATCTTCATAAAGGCACAAGACGTTGAATTTTTTTTTGCGCTCTCTGGAACCTCTTGATAATTTCCGGTAAGTGGGACCCATTTCGAATGGATTTCTTTGGCCAAAATTGTTCACTCCCCAGAACATAGCTCTTGCCTACAGCAGGGAAAAGGGAGCACAGCCGATATCGCTGCACCCGAATAGATAGAGATGACTCTGGGTTTATAAGTAGTGACTCGAATTGCTAATCGCGCCCAACCCTGGAATTCGGAACTGTCACTATAAAGGCAGGAGCCTCAACCGACGACGAATCTAGTTTGTACGCTACCATGCGCACTTATACTGTTCATCCATTTCCCATGCATTGTACGCAGTGCTCACAAAAGTATTCGCATTTGCTTAGTGATCGTCACCGTCAAATGCCTCGCATGTGGGAAGGGGAGAAGGTGAGACGATCTGGGGGAAAGGACATTCTACGACTGGCAAGGCGTGGAGACGAATCGTGCTGTAACAAGGTGAATTGCACTAGCGCTCTCCCACCATATAAACTAATAGTTCACCTCAACCCGCGTTCAGACGGGCTGTAAATCAGCCCCAGGCTGGTTCGTAAGATGAAGCTCATACTGGAGGCATTCCTAAATCTCATTTGAAGTTTCTCAGAGCGATGAGAGTTTCTTTTCTCAACCCATTGAAGGAGAGACCAGAATGACTATTTTTCTTTCACTCTTTTGAGAGACTCTTGGAAAGGATTGTCAGAGGGTTATTCAATAATTACNTTTAGTGGTCTGGGGGAGAGGGAGGGTGTCCTGTAGTGGGAACTCAAGGTGAACGCTCAAGGAGAACGCTTTCTGGAAAAGGTTCTACAATTTCACGTCAGCAGATACATCGGAACAGTTTACCATCGGTGCACAGTTGCAAAAGCAGCATTCGTTCTGCAAGCGATGGTCGCCGACCTTTGCTCTTCTTGCTACAACCTCCTGCAAGTGCTGTTTACCGTCAGATGGAGTCTATGTAGTCACGCTCCCAGCCTGACTAGAATTCATCTGACGGTAAACACCGTTTGCAGGAGCGTACCGTATCCGATTTCAGAATGATAAACTATAAACGATTTCACGGTTGAGTTGGCCGTCTGCCATGCCGATGATGTCTGTCTCTCCTTTGCTACTATTAATTTATTGTCTACTGCTGGTACTGCCTGGTACAGCCTCGGCAGCATTGAAGTCCGATGAGAAATCAGAAAAGAACGGTGTGTTCCTTTGGTCCTTTCCTTTCATGGCTTCTTTCATGGATATACTTACGTTCCGAGCGATGCTTTTCAAGTGTCTCTCAGAAGAATCAAGAAAAGTCATTCTGCTCTTAAAGACTGGTGATTGTCTTCTGAAGACTGTAACTCCGCATGCTTATGAAGACCTGCACTTTGAAGTTTATTCTTTGCTAGTTTATAATTCGAAGTGATAAAATATAGAATAACTTGTTGTCGACAGATGGCCCAAACAAATTACGCTTCGATATTGACTGAAGTGGTCTATTGCCATCTCCTACGTACAAGCACGTCTCTCGGGTTGGCGCCAGGAATTTGGGGATTCCTAGATAGTTTCCTACAGCTTTAAATGAAAATATCAAATATGACACTCTCCAAAAGTAGTTGAACCAAGAAGAGAGGGAATGGCCCATTTTGAAGCCTTTATTCATTCACGGCAGAAATTTCCTAAATTTCGATGATGCAGTTCACGATATTTCTGAACTGCTACTTTCAGCGAAATAACGGGAGCCGTGGTGCTAAATAGTGCAAGTATGGCGCGAAAATCGGCGGATTTAAATAAAAATTAAAGGCTTCGAAAAAGTGCCAAATAAAGGAATTGTGCTTCTTTCTGGGCTTCTCTCACATGAGCGTGCTATTCGTCTCGTTTTGTAGATAGCCGCAGTCATAACAGGGCCGACCTAATACGGCCACTTACACTGCGCGCAACCGGTATTGTAGCCCTTTTTGCACCCTGTCTAGACCATTTTTCGACCCAACAAGTCCCATCCTTTATTCTCGGGGCCACAGTTTCACCCTAGTAGCAATTCAGGAATTTTTTTCATCATGAACTGTGCTTTCGAGACTTGCGGGCCGCACACCATGACAAAGTCTGGTTTTGTGAAAGGTTTTGCCGAAACAACACCGACCAAATTGATCCTTCTATTTCACGTAAGACTGATGACACAAATATTGCTTTATTTCTTTCGGAGAAACAGTCATATGGGATTTAAACAGGGGCCTGAAAATTTCAGGACAAATTTTACTAGAATACCATGATCCCAGTTATAAAAATCCCTCGATACCCTCATACTCAAGTGAAGGGAGAATTTGGACTGCCTTTGAAACCAAGACTGAATTTGATTTCACCGGACACCTTCTAAGGTCATTCGTATCGTAATCAAATGCTTTGCAAGGTGAAAGGAGAATTATGTAGTCATCCGTCGACGACATAACCGATCACTTTCAGAATGTCCACGCGGTTGGACTCGCTACGATCGCTCTCGGTCTTGCTTCATGGTACTGCCTCAACGACTTCGATGGTCTGAGGCGGAGCGGGCATGTGCAAAATCGGGTGGGCGACTCGCCTCGATCACGGATGAATACGAAAATGCTTTTGTTTTCAGTTAGTTTTTCTCCATGTTTTCTTCTTTTTTTGGAATGAGCATTTTTCAAGCATTTTGAGCACTGACAAACTTGTTCTGAGAAGACGCAGATTCCTTCCTTTTAACGCTTAAAATTTCTTATACCTGAAGTATTCTGGAGCAGTTACAGTGAGATTAAGAATAACATAATTCTGTGCAGAATAACAGCGATGAGGCTAGGTCGACCTTCAGTTCTTCGAAAAACATAAAACTTCAAAAAAAAGTAGCAAAAAGGGGGCTGTGCGAGATAGCCGTCTGGGTGTCACTCATTTTGCGTACTATTTGTACCGTCCTTTGCATAGCGCAGTAATTACAAGGCGGGCATAACACGACCATTTTGAGGGCATGTGTCGACCAAGACGAAGACCAAGACCATGTGTTTCTGAGTCCTTATTAAGCCTCGTCTAGGCCGTTTTTCGCGCTATGCGAATGCCTTCGTAAGGATGGCGCGTAGTGAGCGCTTGATCCCGAACAGACCTAGTACCCATACTTGTTCTTTCCAGCCCTTTGCGCGTTATCCTATGACCTATCAAGACCCAACTTGTCTTGCCTTAGCAGTGGCTTTTCAGCCATAGAGTATCAGCAACGTAATTAGCCTGTTGGCTCACAAAAGAATCGGATTGTCAGAAAGCGGAAGCATGAGTTCGAGTCCCTTCTGACTGAGTGCAAGCTTTTGCCCACAGTTCGACACCTTGTACAGATTTCCGTTCTATGGCGTGGAAGGTTCCGGTTACAGATTCCTTGTTGACCGAAAACTTTCTGAAGATTCAAACAAAAAAGCTAATTGAAAATGGCAGGATCCAAACTAAGTACTGTTCAGATTTGGCTAAGAAGGCGAACCTCACTACTCCGACTGTGTGGTTAGGACGTTTGGTGCGTCTGGCTCGTACTGGCGCCTACGAATGGCACGATGGCGCCATTGGACGTCAGGCAGACGGCTTCAGAGGTGGTCAGCGATTCGCGTCTTGTATAAGATTCCGTGCAGCGGCAACCATGAACATAGCGTTTATTTCTTCTGCACGGACTCCTCTTTTATGACTATCTAGAAGAGAACTTGGGTTGAAGAAGTTACAAGTGCATTCAGAACCGCCGTCTGGTACAGAGCTTTGCCTGACAATGTGGCTTGATTTCGATCGCCCTGAGGGATCATGGAACGAATGGGATTGTGGATATGCAAGCGGTTATTCGGCTCTTTGCAAGAAAAGCCTAAGGAAGCCAGCGTTCCCGATTTCTGGTAAGTTCCTTAGCACAAGTATTAGTGTGGAGATCACCATGATATTGTCTTCTTCGTTATCTAAAGAGATGCATCCAGCTTTCTCAGCCTTCATTATTGACATATTGATCATTTGCTGTTTATTTGGTTTCATCTCGAGTGTCATACCAGATTCCAATTCTCTATACGCAGCCCAGCCTCCAAGTGAGCCATCCACTAGCCACGTCTCGCAACGTTGCTGTGTACATCCCGGATGTGGACAACGGTGTTCTTCGAACGAGCGGTGTATTCCCGATGACCTGGTCAGTGATTCTTTCACCTTCAATTGTAGGAGAATCAGTAAATGATAAAAGAACGAAGTTTTGGGGGCGTTAATCAAACCCGTCTAAGGGATGCGCCAACGCATTGACTTTCATTCAGAATCGTAGTGGCGTATTGAATGAGTATGTAGCCTATACATTGGCTTGCGGTGGCCAGCCGATGTACATGTCAGTGCTTTTATCCTCCCAGACGAGTCTGATACCAATTAATCGACCCCGAAGAGGTGGAAGGCCTGATTGGCCTAGGCGGATACGAACCCATGACTATTCGTGCGTGACGTGTGTCGTTTACCACAACACGACCTCCGCCCTGAGGAGAATCGGTACCTCTCACAATTTTTGATTTTTGCCAGTGAACACCCACTTCTTGGCAATTAATCAGTTTTCGGAACTTTAATTTTTCTGCAAACTACTACTAGTTAAAAGATTTTTTTATCTTTCAGAGCAAATTTCACTTTTCCCACCACCACCGCTGGGTGAGTACCAAGACAAGACTAATCCCAGTGATTCTCTAGATTGTAGAAATGGAATATGAGCCTTTTTTGAGTGTGGCGTTTCACTATCGGACCTCAACCGGAATTCCCAGGCTTCAGTCTCATTCCCCGTTATATAAAGGCGTGGGCTTACAAAGGTGTCACTATCATTCCAACACTTAATTTCCTGGGGAGATGATTAAAAATTTCAATTGAAACCTCGCCTCCTGTGGCGACATTTTTTATCACCTTCTCGGGATGGCGAAGGCTATCACGTGCATTCGAACATTCTGGTTTTATCAGAAGCTCAGTTCACGATGGAAATGGTTTCTGAATCTGTGGCCGCCCTTTACACCCCACGTGGCTTTGTCAGATGGGAAAATCGTCTGGGCAAAGGATAAAACCTTGGGGCCCGAATCAATCAATCCCGCGTGGGAAATGCGCCAACGCATCCGACTCCATTCAGAATCGTAGTGGCGTATTGAATGCGAATGTGGCCTGCAGTGACTTGAGGTGGCCAGCCGAAGTACAAGTCAGTGCTTTTATCCTCCCGGACGAGCCTGGTAGCAATCAACGAATACCTTCGGGGGAGGTGGAAGGCTTGGTTGGCCCAGGCGCATATCGACCCAAGATACGAACCTGTGGCCGTGCGTGTGAGATAGTGCGCCACTTGCCGCTGCGCCACATGCGCCCTAACCCACCATAAATGGTCTTTGAAAATGAATTTGAAACTTGATGTATCGCATTCTGTAAACCTGTCAGCTAAGCCCAATCGAGTACTGCTTCATCCCTGTCGATATGATCTACATGTGAATTTCCTATTCATCGCTTAGTGATAAGCCGTGCGCTTATCCACATTCTGGAATTCTCTTTCGGATCCTTACCCCTGGAATCTGACTTTATTTCCTGAGAATTCTTCAAAAATATTACAGATTCATTCTTGGGGTGAAAAGGTGAAAAGTCGTGGCCCACCGTGCAACATGTGATTCAGCAAAACCAAGCAGTACAGTGGAAGTAGCGCAACATTTTTAAGCAGGTTGGATTTGCTTCAAGAGTTCCTATCATCAAATCAGATTTGGGTGACATTAAGCGTCCAATGATCTAAGGCTCAATAGATAGAATTCACCCTGCTCAACATTGATTAAGGTATCCCCAGCTTTTGTGAGCAGCACTCCGAGCAGCTAGATATATCCCAGCAATCCACTGCCTGCATTTTGGAGGATGTGGTGTGCATGGCGCAACCAACTGAAATCTTTTAATGCTCAGCCCATTCCGAATCTGCTCTTTTGCTCCCTCAATTGTGGTTTGATTAAAATAACATCTTCAATCGACATTTAATTTCCTTAGCAATCATTCCCATTCCCTAGTCAACACACTGCCCAGTGTGGAAGTCTGATTGGCTTGAATGATTAGAACCCTTACAGTACCCAAGAAGACGATTGTTCACTCTTTTGTGCACACTGATCAAATACCAAAGATGAAACATAATTTTTTCTGATTTTCAATCTACTAAAATTAATATTTTTCCATTTTCTTCTCAATTTTTTGGAATTTTTGCTTTCTGGTGGATGATTTTTGGAGACACTCTAACGAGTGATGCACAAGAGCAAAGGAAATTTCATAAGGAACCCAGACAAGTCTGTTTATTCAGCATCGTCCAGCCCGCGCTAACTTATTCATGGGAACAAGACGTTCTTCAGTCCCAAAGGTTAGCTTGGCTATGGCCATTCCTGTCTTCCCTATCCTCAGTAGTTTTTTTCATTTTGAAGGGATAATCCTCTGTCTATTCCTTTGAAGGATAAATCCATGGTGTTCTTCAGAAATTCTCTGACTCATCTCCTTTTGGAATCTCGCCAAAAACCGTTGACTTCTTTTTTTTTTTCTTCTATGCCAATAATTTTTCTTGTAGGAAATAGTACTATCGAATCCCAAGCTAAGCAACTGCTTCTCAGAGGGGGTAAGGTGAATAGATCAGAATTTGCGGATCAGACTCGTTCTAGGTAGGCGCGCGTGGCTGCGTAGCGGTCGGCGTCGGCGTCTGTCGACTGTCGGGTTGCACTTTCTTTCTTCTAAGTCATTTGCGCTTTGAGACCTATTTTTCATTCAAATTCTCGAATAGTTCGCTTTATAGCCTTTTTTGACTTTACTTATCAGTTTTTAAGGTTGTTTCACTTGTAGAAAATTCTGGAATCACAGAAAATTTCATCAGAGTAGGTATTACAAAAGGTAAAGATCGCCTATTGATTGAATATTAATAGTAATAATGAAACAATCGATAGGTATGAATAGAACGCTTTCCCATATGAATAGAAC